CTCGAATTTCAGAAGAGTATCTTGGAAACACAACAGTAACGTGCGATATGCCAAATGCTTAATATCGAAAAAATTATAGAAGCTTTTCATTTTGCGTTTTTTTGTGCTTATGGTATAGTTTATAAATAATACACAACCGTATTTTTTAGGTAGGTACTCCCTTGATAATTCAGCAGCTAGGTATTTCAATAAATTTATTATAGTATCATTTTAATCAGATAAAAATTTTCTATTGAAGAATTGAGTTGTAATCAATTATTATGGAACCTATCCTTTTTTTGCAGAGCTTCTCCACTTTGTTTAAAGCTTACGGTTTTCTCATACTCACGAAGAGCATGCCTGCGTATTTATAGAAGAAGTAAACGTGTCCAAGTCTCTAATAAATAAATGCATACACAATCGTTTGAAATTTGGGTATGTTTCAGGTAAATGCACCATGGTAATTAGCGACTTCATCATTGCCCCGAAAATCATTAATTTGTCTTTGTAAACCACACCTTAATTCGTACTATGCCGATAACGCAATTGAATTTATATAAGAAGAAAGGGTTTACCTGCAGGCAAATGTGCGCTTGATTGCCTGCGGATAAAGAATAATAATAAACTCCCTCTTAACAAAGAAACTGGTATCACTCAAGTCATTATCTAAGTTAAGGAGATTCCCAGATCTACCTTCACAGAGATCTCTAATTAACTAACCACGTTGACTGAACAATAGGTAGGTACTTAACATATCATTTTGGTATATATTTTCATGTAAATGGAAAAACATTAAAAACAATAACTACAATAACTGAAATGGCTTTGAAATCCGAGGCTAATTAGCGTTCTTGTTCTAATTCTTGTAGGTACATTATATCAGTAAAATAATTAGCGTTATATTCTAGAAGAATAAAAACCAAAAAGTGTAATGAGCATACCTAATTTAAGAGTTAGGCGTCCATTCTAAACTAATATAAGGAATTTACGTTTGAGACTTTGAAAGCTTGATCTTTGGATCGAACTTCATTACGTAGGTACTTAATTAAAAAACAAAACTGATTAATAAAAAGTATAATTCCAAGGAGGAATTCGTGAAAAAGTTACAAAGAAATTTATGGGAGAAAGGTTCATTGGAACAATTTTCTTTGCCCAAAATCGTTCTGAGACCTTCATTTTCATGCCTACTTTCTGTCAGGAAATTTTAGTTTCCGTGACAGAGGCAGAGCATACTACGTTTCCTGCCGCTTGTCACTTTACTGGCCGCATTTGTCACTTTACCGGCGGCTCCGTCACTTTACCGGCCGCATATGTGACATTGCTAAATGTCTATAATGATTCCTGTCATCACTGACAGATTGACAGTTCTATATAAAAATTGAAATGTTATATTAAATACGATTTCGGGTAATATTTAATACAAAACTCGTCACTAAAATGATACTACTTGACTCGGAAATTGACGTACCAATATTTCCTCACCAGCAATGTATCATTTTCCTGACTTTTATGTAAATAACTATTATTCATAAAAAATCAAGACGAGGAAGTTGAAGAGCGCCAAATAATATTTCATATCGCGATTAGAAAGCCAACTTTAAAATTTAATGTTTGAAAGGCCTACATGTCAACTTAAAAACAAAACCTAGAAAACTAAAAGCTTAAGAGTGCACGAAACCGCGCGATTTGATGAATTTCAATCTCAATGATTGGAAGGCATTATTAGCTCTAAATTTTAACGTGAAAGTCAAAGTTTAGAGACTCAAGGAGCGCCAGAAAATGGCGCGATTCATAAACAAACGTAAAATTTGAAGTTCGTAGCTTTCGAAATTTACTTGAATTTACACTTTGTTTTGCTATGGGTCACCACCACCTTCTTCTCACCACAGTTCTAGTTATACGTGGAAGGATTTAACTTTACGTTATAAATGGCTTTTATATCCGCAATGAATAATAATCATTTTAACTTTCTGTTCGTACAGAAATAAATTGGAATAAAATTTTGCAAGACCTAAAACAGGTGACAGGTCATATTGTGGTTAGCGAAATGGATTATTAAGCGCTGTGGCAACACACAACCCTCAAAATTTTAGATGGCGTGTAAATCAAGAAATACATTTTTTGGAAAATACCCCCTTTCGCCGAATTGGAAGCGATACTTAGCAGTAAGTAACTTTCATTGCAGGAGAGGCTATGGAGTAATAAGAGAATAGTGTGTGCCAAGCTTTCTCATTTACATAAATCCCCCGCCTCTTCTCCAATTTCCAATTTTTGTTGGAATTGCAAGAGATGCGACGAAATACGGCAGAGTGGGGTGGGTAAATCTAAAATCTTGGACTAAAATTTCACTTACGATTTGGTGAAAATGCTCTCACTAGGAAAACGCTATAGAAATTGCTCCGTATGTAGTAAAAACTCTTGGTTGCGTTTAGATTCAGTGACATAAAATTTCCCATTTCCTTTTCACTGCATGGTTTCCGCGTAGACGTTTTCTCTCTTGATTTGAAATTGTTTGCTATTGTCGATTTCCAAGCTCCTGTTAAATGTGACCTTTTCCCATTTTTACATATTTAATAGAATCCACAGTCGCATATATGTATACCATTCATTATACATTCATTCTGTTGATACTAGTTTAGGCATGTTTTTTATGTTGTCATATTAAAAAAGTTATTTCTTTAATAATACTTCACGAAAAATAGTGCTTTCCATTTCCATTAAAAATTTACCCACTTACTACTGCAGAGGCCTTGGTAGATCCACGCCACTATAAATAATTTTTAAGCATGTAGATTTCATTAAATTATTTTAACGATTTTTGTTACAATAAATTGTTTTGTTAGTGAAATTATGAAACTAATTAACTCAACCATTTTCCTTAATTTAAATTTTCATCTTATATTTGATTATGTAATAGGTAGGTATATAATCAGTTTTTATGCTGCTAGCCAAAGAGTGTACTATTTAAGAGTATGTAATGAAAACTAGTGGTTGCCATTAAAAAAAAGCAGTATGCAGAAGTACACAAATTTAAAGTACGTATCTGTAACTGTTTGCAATTTTGGATACTATAAGAAGCTTCTTTAAAAAAGCTTTGTCTTAAAGATGTACCTATTCAGTTTTCCAGACACAATCTTCTTAGTGCCTGTTATATACTCAGTCAAAAGGGTTTGTTTGTAGTGCCTTTATGTTCACATAAAAATGCGTATGATTGCGCCATTTACGAGTTAATCTAATCTGCAACAAAATTTGAATCTGGTATAAACAGACGAATTTAAAATTCCACCTTAGGTTCCAATGCTGACATAAGGCGAAAGCTTGAACTATCTACGTATAGTCCAGTAAATTTGTACTTTATGGTTACAAAGTCTGGTATAGAAGATTTTATTTTTCCGACTGGTTTAAATCGTAAAGAGAGAGAAAAATCCAAGTTTGCCAATATGACTGAAGTTGGGAGACATTTCTGTGGACAAAAATCTGCAAAAATGTTTCAGTTTTTTCGGTTTTTTACAATAACTCGCCAACGGCAATACTTTGGTGAAATCATGTTTTATTCAAAATTGTAGTGTATAAAAGTACCTTTAATTTAATCATTTATTTGACCCCTAACATGTATAGTTAGGAGATACACTAATTTAAAATTTCGTGTTTTTAGTAATTTTACTAATTTTTGAATGTTATGTCAACCAAACGAACCAAAAGTCACTCTGATGGCTTCATTGTCTTGCCATTGCCATTACTATTGGATTAAAGTAGGTTTTTGAAGAACCCCGATATGTTAATTCTGGGTTAGAGGTTAACTAGGCAACTCTCCCACAAATACAACCAGTTCTGTGGCATTACTTACTAAAATTATAAATGGTACCTATGTAGTGCAAGAATCCAATGGGGATGCTTTGCCTTCTTGAATTTGAAACAGTGATTTTCTAGATGATATCCTCAAAAATTTGAAAAGCTTTTCAAAATGAAGTATGTCACTCTATCTGAATGATATCTCTATAGATGTAGCTGTAGATGGCATCTGCACTAATAATAATAGTGATCTAATGTCCAACAGAAGAAATCTGCAATTATGGATTAAAAACGCACAAATACATCTTTCAGCAATAAATACATAAGTAATTAAATTATGTCAGTAAACTACAAAGCTACTAAAATGTATAAAATAAGTAAGATTAAGATAAGAATACAAAATTTGAATGGTGAAAGCTTAAACTGGAGGACTAGTAAAGGTACAGACGGACAGAACAGACGGGCAGAGTGCGGACAATGGCATTCATTTTCCGTTTGTAAAATGCGCTAAAAATATCAACTTTAAAGGTTTAACATCAGGTTCCCGGGTGTCTGTAGTCTTTTAGAAATTATTAATAGTAAAAAATGGCAAATTGAGACTGATACTGACGTATAAACTATATTGATTCGTTTTATACTATAATGCTACATGCGGCGAAGATATATAAAGAAGTAATAAAAAGTATGAATTTGAATTGTGGTGGGTGGAGGCACCCGAGTGGAAGATGCAAAGTTCTAAAGAATAAGATCGAATACCTATACTTAAAATTTCATTAATGATAGTTAATTGCGATTTAGATATTGCATTTGTATTCGCTTTCAACGCAATTACCAATTTGGAATTGTATGGTCAGCATATTTTTACTTAATTTAGATAATCATTTACAAACAAATGTAATTATAACTTCAAATATAGTTGGGATAAATTGATCGCATGACGCGAAACGAGCATAAATACCAGTTTTGGAGTGTTTAACGTGAAAAAAGCGTGTAAAAACAATTCATTAAAGTAAATGCCAGAGATATGTGTATTTAAAAAAAGAAGTGAGGAAAAGTGGGCATTAGAACATATTTCCATTTAAGAAGAACGATAAGTAGGGGAAGTCCCGCCAATGATGAAAAAACAGGCGGGGTTGTGAATTTACCCCAATTCTCAGCTCCGCCTTTCCGACACTACTACTGCTACCTTAAACCACATCAGCATCACCACGGTCAGTCGTTCTTAAACTTTCAGTTTGTGAGTGCCGCCAGAGCTATGTCCAACTTGTACGGTTTTTGTGGAACAATGATGGAAGAGTGCCATCCTCAGACGAATCGCAATGAAGAACATATTAAGCGGCCGATGAACGCTTTTATGGTTTGGTCGCGTATTCAGCGTCGAAAAATCGCCTTAGATAATCCGAAAATGCACAATTCGGAAATTTCGAAGCGACTTGGTGCCGAGTGGAAAATGCTCTCCGAGGTGGACAAGCGGCCCTTCATCGACGAGGCGAAGCGATTGAGAGCTTTGCATATGAAGGAACATCCCGATTATAAGTATCGTCCGAGGAGAAAACCGAAAAGCTCGCTGCCGTCGGCGATGAAGACAGGTTTAGGCTTTCCGAGTTTTCAATTACCTTACTTTCCGCCAGTAGACGCGCCGTATCCCTATTTTAATCCGGCTTTCGATCTATCCAGGATGATCCCCAGCGCAGAGAAGAGCCCTAATCAGAATGCCGTAGTTACATCGTTTCATTCATCGTTATATCCACCGTTTTATCATCAAGGTAGTCCGCCGAAAACTTTCCCGTCAGGGCATATTGGAATGTTTCCTACGATTCCAACGCCGCCCGGCGTCATGTATTCAGCGTCTTCAAGTCCCGGCTCGAGCCCGGCGTCTTCAGAGATGGAATTACGAAGACCTGTTCCTGTTATATTTTAGTTGTGATTTGTGCGTGATAAATTCTTGCGAAAGCACTTTGACTTCCTTGTTATTTGCTGTAAATATGTTGTAAACTCTGTGTTACTGTGATTTTATCGACTGATTATTTTGTAAATAATGTAGCAATTTGCGAGTAATGTTAAGCAATGTTATTTATTGTTCCGTTTAACTAATTGTACATATGCCTAGTTATAGTAAAGTCAATAAATTGAATAAATACGGTGCGTTCTTTCATTATTCTTCTAACAAGGAAAATTCATTAAGAATAAAAACACTTACTGTAAGCCTTTACTTTTCTATAACAATAGCTATCGTCGAAATGCTGAAGTTCGATTTGAAAAACTATTGTTTTTGTTCTCAATAAAAACATTGTTTTCGAAGACGTTTTCTAAAGGAGACCCCCTTTTATTTCAATTTCTTTATGCATTGTACTTTGAATTTACTCCCTATTGGGCAATAGTAATTGAGAAATTAATGTGGCTTTCGACTTTGCAATTATAAAGAAGCATTCAAATTCATTTTGAAAGGGTTAAGTGAAAAGTTTATTCGTTTCAATGGTATACGTTTTTGAGCGAGTACCACTTTATTGTTGTTACTATACTTTGAGAAGCTTCGAAACAAGCTAGCGAAGATGATAGAAAAGTTACCTGTACCCCACTTTGTTTCGTTGAATCGGCTGCATTTACCAATTTTACCTAAAATGACATTTTAAATATTAATTGGTTGCAGTTACAGAGAATACGATTAACAATAATCTACATTTTCGACAAATTATATGAATTGAATTATCGAAAAAAACCTGTAATAATAATAATAATGTTGAAATATATTTTTTTGGAAATCACAGTTTACAAATGCGCCCAATGCAGATGGACATAATGAGCGATTGGAAACTATTTTTATAACAAGTAGCTACTTTTTAGAATAAAATACTCAAGATCCTTGCCCATTTTTGAAATATTGTGAGCGGATCTAACTCCTCCCTTATCATATATAGGCAAAAATATTATACCTATGCATCGTCCGGTATAATCAAGGAATCATTTTTACCACTTTTTGATAAAATGCATCATCAAACCGTTGGTGTATTAATATAAAATTTGTTAGCATTGGAATCTTGAAATATCGAATGTGGATCGTACCTTAAAAATATCCTTAACCATGCATACAATAGGAGAGTTGCTAAACAACATCGCAAAGAAACTTTCATTGCCGTTCCATTGAAGAAAATGAGATTTTAGGCTTTTATATGGCTCTGATTGAGCGTCTACAATAAAGATAGCGTTAATTCATTAACTATAACTTCCTGCGCGACTCCTTTTTGAGATCAGCGGGTGACGGAGCAGGGGGAGGAGAGTATAAATTAATATGATATTTCATGGTATTCTAAAGGTCTCAACAAAATGAACTGCCGCCTTTCTGTATTACTCCTTATCAAAATATGCGGTTCCGGGAGAGGGTTTCAACGAAAGGAATCAATTTCCACCAACCATAGTCCTCCTCCTCCACCCCTTGTCGTGGTCGGGTATAATTCCTAATATTTCAAGAGCGTATATTGTCGGAGGAGGGTACTCTCATCGAGCGATTGGCACATCTGAAAGAAATTTATTCATTCGTGATGGCAAAACTTTAAGACCGAATATTTCGGAACATTTACTGCTTTTCAGTTCAGCATAATTTGGCAATTTAAGGCTCACAGGTATTGCTCACTGTTTTAGGCACTATTCGACCAGTTTTGGCTCAAGGTTTTGTTAATTATTAATTTTGTTGTTTACATATATAAGGGTAAAATTGCAATTCAAATTAAAAGTGATAATCAGGTTTGTGCTTACCTAGTCCCATTTATTGTCAGGGACCCATCCCACCAGTACGAATGAGGTGGTTAACTCATTCATTTATAAAGACGATCCTATTTTACTTATTTTTGTTTTGTTTAGAAATTGATTTTTCATAATGAAATATAATTGTCGAATTAAGCTTAAAAAGTAAGCATATTTGCCACAGTTTTTGTATTTTAAGAAATTGCAACAATTTAGAATAATGATCTTGATTTAAATCCATTACCATTAGTAACCAATTTCCCATTCAGATACGGATTTTTCAACAGACAAATACCTTAATTGCGTCCTTTGTCTTCGAAACGAATCATTCAATCTATAGGTATGTCATTAGATAGATTGATAATTATTATTTGCACCAGTTTTCATTGTTATAGGTAATGAGCTCTAACAAGTCAATTAACCGAACGTAACCTTGCATCTGAATTCAGTAATCTGAAGCAATCTACAGTTATCATCAAAAGAATTCCTAAAGGTGCACGAATTACCGTAGCCAATTCATTGACACCTTAACGATAAATTGAATTCTTGGATGAAACTATTAACTTAAACATACAGTGATTTACAATTTCCTAAAAGAAAACTATACTGAAACTTATTACTTAAATTGATTTCAAGAAGGCTTTCGACTCTATAGAGCGTGACATTATGTTGACGGAAGAGGTCTCAATGTTATAGGTATGAATCTTTCTTATTTTTTGAAAAGGATGTAATTTTATCTGAAGTCGGTGCTCAACAAGCTGATTCTGCGGGTCCCATGCTTTTCTGCAATTCAACCAGTTATAATAAAACTTACTACAGAGCTCAATGCCTGGTATTTATTTCTACGAAGATACTGTTGGAGGAACCCCTGAATCAGCTTCATCAAATTTCAATATTTTAATTGAAGAGTGTGCCAAATTAGGACTGGAAATCAACCCTTAAAAGTGTGAAATTTATTTTTGCTCAGTTGTTGATAAGAAGATCTTTCGGTTTTTTGAAAATCTTTTACCGGGAATTCGAGATACCTTTTGGACGCCCGAAGTCGACTACTCCTTGAAGACGCGCGCCTTTCAAAATGTGGTTGATTTCTTCCCTTGGTAAAAAACAAAATTCCCTCCGTCACGCAGGAGTTTTCCTACGACACCAATTTGACCATCGGAAAAAAAAAAGATAACAAAAACTGAAAAACCACAAGGTTAGTAAACCACGCTCGGAGATGGCGTCTAAAAGTCGTCGACCCCACATCGTGTAGCCCTGTAACAAATTGCAAAAATGCCGTAAAAACTATTGGAATTGCAACTTCTGTTTCCAAAATTGGTAATACTTAATCCTCACACTTCGTTTTACCTACTAAGACATTGCCTATAGCCGTCCCAAAATGAATGCATCTCTTACGAATCATTCCTTTGGCCTACCTACTTTAAGAAAATTCTTGACACTTTGACAACTTTGGAAAAAATCGTCAACATTAAATTAAACATTTACGTGGCTTCATTACTCATCCAAAACGGAGTTGCTGATATTTTTCTAAGGCCTTTCTGGTTTAATCTGCTTTATCTTGTCTTTCAACGGAGTAATAAATTGAAACTGGATCAGTGACCCTTTCTGACAAGATTCCTATAGAACCTTCTAGACAAAAAAATTGGGACATCATCAACACAATCGGAATATGTGATAAAATAAAGTTCGAATGTGATAGAGACAGCAAGATTATTATTTATATTTAATGTGTTACCTTTATACTTTTTATTGTTTACGTGGAATATTTTGGTTTTGTATACTTTGGATAAGAATGGGTTTTTGTAGTGCATTTGAATGTGAATGTGTTTAAACAAAATTTTTGTACTGCGTTAAAAAAAGCAATAATTCCTTATCTGAAATTCACTAGAATTTAATGTTAAATTGTATTAATAGATATCATTTCAGGTCTAGTTTATGGTAATCCATTCTTTTAGTATGAAGGGTTATTCTTATTGTTTCATAATTAAAGGTTGTTACAAGGGAAACCCCTTGTTTCTATTTGTTACTATACTTCGCATCATAAAATAAGGGCAGTTAGTAGTATTGATATATAATTGTTACATGTGTGATGTGGGTAACGCATACAAAAACCATAAAAACAATTCGCTCTGGTTCGTTTGTATTATGAAATTGAATGTATTGTATGGAGGAGTAAATTAAAAATCTTACAAATACTCAAATAAAATTACAATAATATGCTATGTCTACGAATTAATACAATAATCCTCACAATAATCCTTATATTCTTACCCTTTCCTGCATTCATTCATTGAACCCCTTTCAGAAAGTCCCCAAAATATATATGCAATTCCCACAGCAATAATTTGCACTACGTAAACCAAAAACAGAAAGCTGTAGAAAAGATGTGCACAATGTACCCCCACCCCTGCTGAATTCCTTCTCAATGTTTGCAAAAAAATGTGCTCTGAAACATCCATTTATTTTTTGGAATATTCCTACCTCAAAAATGGAACCTTTTGTTTTCGTTTTAAGCAGTTACTTTATATTCCTCATTCAAATGTCTGTTTGCACTGCTCGTTGACCATTAACCAAACGCTAATTTAATTGAGTGGCTATTACGTTAGGGCCGCACAATTGAATTTTGATTCGCAATTATTGCGTATTTAGTGAGATTTTTGAAAATTGCTACCATCTCAAATTCGTTGTATCTTATGCACTAGTTCAAACCGCATATACACGTAGAACTTAAGTACAATATAATAGCGTTCCATAATAATGAGTCAATTAAACATAAATTTATGCCCTCGGAGCTGTAAAAATATTAGAATGATGACGTCATCTTGCCAACCCCTATGCAATATTAAACTTTTAACAAAAATTCATCGTGAAGAGGAACTACAAATTTCGTTAAAATTAAAGGTCGAAGTATATAGCACATGCTATGTTACCATTTTGACAATGAATTCAAGAAAAATGCTTATAATTTTTTGTATTCTTTAGTGCCAGCTTTTGATTTTCAACGGAAAATGTCTGAGGCTTTTTGTAGCTTTTATTTCCTTGCTTTGATTTGTTAACACTCGACGCGGAGGGGTTTTATTCAAAATTAAAGACAGTCGATATCTGTTGTAAATATCTTAATACGAGAACCGTATACCATTACATAAAAAAACTTACTACTCGAGAAAGAACCAATTCTTTAAAAAACCAATTTTAAAACCTGTTCCATCTCCTTTCTTTACTTTCCCGCATCGAATGTGGGAAAACTGACATTTTTAACAGGAATTGTGAAATCTTGAAGATCGAGTTACAAATCTGTTTTGGTTATTTTCACCTGATCATTAGGTATTCTACCGTTTAGCAAAATTTGATCAATAAACAGA